CCTTTCTTTCTCACCCTTTTGTCTCTCCACAGAAGGAAATACTTCCCCTCCATACCTATGTTGCTCATTTTATCTCCCCCAATTTGCAGTCAGGTGCCTATCACCCACCAGGCTGTCCCCGTGGGTCCCTGGAGATGTTTCTGTCACTCTGTAGCTCAGATTCCTGGAATTCCAAGTCTTCTGGCCTCAATACTACTGTGTTTGAGGGATGAGGGAACTTCAGATCCACCTACTTCCCCACCGTGTTAACCTAGTCTTCCTATTTTTTTTTTAATGTTCATTTTTCAAAGAGAGAGAGACAGAGAGAGACACAGTGTGAGCTAGGGAGGGGCAGAGAGAGAAGGAGACACAGAATCGGAAGCAGACTCCAGGCTCTGTCAGTACAGAGCCCAACATGGGGCTTGAACTCACAAACCATGAGATTATGACCGGAACCAAAATCAGACATTTAACCAACTGAGCTACTCAGGTGCCCCAGTAATATTTGTACATTTAAAAAGAATATACAGGTTGTGTTATAAAAGTATAGTAATATTGATGATGATATTCAGATCTCTTGTATCATTTCTTTGACTCCTCAAACTATTGAACTCTGAGGTAAATAAGTTATCGTCTCTTAATATTAACCTGTCTTGGAAGGTGGGAGGGTAATATTTGTTTCTAATATTCTTACTTTGTATATTTTGCTTCTACGTTAAAAGAATGTGTGTTTACAAATGGTCATAACTATAGCTTTTCTTATTGTGACAGATTTACATTCATCCCATGAATACAATTTTTTTCTTGAATATTGTGTCATTTAATATAAAATTCCCATCTTAAAATATTTTTATTTGCCTTTATCTTATATTTTTGCCTCTGTATTACTTATTTCCTTAGTTTTAGATTTTCCCTAAAACTACCTATATTTGCATTTTACTTCCTTTTTCTTCAGTAATATGTAAAAGTTTTTTTATCTTAATTTACACTTATTATAATAAGCTCTTATATATTATCTTGACTGATTTTACATTCCATGCTATTAGGTTTCTTATGAGCTCTTTTTTTTGTCATTTATGAGTTTTGCAAAAGTAAGACTTTTATCCATTCCATTTTTCTTTTACACGATTGGAATGTTTTTGTGTCAATTTTGTATTTTCATAGGGTTATCCTTAACTTCAAAAAATGTATTTATAGCTATACATTTTTAGAAATGTGATTTTTTTGATCTCCTTTATGTGGAATTTGTTTTTCTATTTAAAAAATATTTAAAAATTGGGGCTCGTGGGTGGCTCCATCGGTTAAGCATCAACTTTGGCTCAGGTCATGATCTCACGGTTTGTGGGTTCGAGCCCTTCATCAGGCTCTGTGCTGACAGCTAGCTCAGAGCCTGGACACTGTTTCAGATTCTGTGTCTCCCTCTTTCTCTGACCCTCCCCTGCTCATGCTGTCTCTCTCTCTCTCAGAAATTTAAAAAAAAAAATTATTTAAAAATCAATTACATGTTAGTGTTCTGAAATGTCCCTGTCCCAGTCTAATGGTGAGATTTTTGCATCTATCATCATCATGGTGTAATTTATTAAAAAGTTGTTATGATTATTATCATTTTTATACTCTTCCCAGAATCTCAAAACTTCACCTATGAGTGTTGAAACTTTCTCTTATTATCCCACAGTAGCTGTGAAACAGAAATTTATGTCTGAGCTTTTATGTCCAAGAAATTCTAGACAAAGGATTCTCTAGAGGAAAAAGAGGGAATCTCTGAATATGAATACCTGACTCTTGGGGCACCTGGGTTGTTCAGTCAGTTAAACGTCCAACTTCGGCTCAGGTCATGATCTCATGGTTCATGGGTTCTAGCCCCATGTTGGGCTCTGTGCTGATAGCTAGCTCAGAGCCTGGAGCTTGTTTCAGATTCTGTGTCTCCCTCTCTCTCTGACCCTCACTTCCTCATGCTGTCTCTCTCTCAGAAATAAATAAAACATTAAAAAAAATTATGAATACCTGACTCTTGCCCTGAAAACTTGTCAGTTTATTTTGGAAGATGTGCATATAACCAACTTATTCAAATCCAAATATATCAGTAATGAATAGAGATGAACTGTGTCAGAAAAGAAAATAAGGACACAAGGAGGAACTTAGAAAAAGAATAAGAGAAAGTGAAATGACTGCCATATCCACACATTAAATAGTGGTAGAGTTAATTGAAAGGCAACAGGGCATGGGACTGAATGGCAAGGGATCTAGCTAGAAATGATAATAGATATGTGAATGAGAGGAACTTTATCTTGTATGCAATTAGAATAACTGAAAGCTTTTATTAAAGAGAATGATATGAAAAGGCTTAAGTTTAAGAATAACTCAGGTAATGAGTGGAAAGTGACTTATATAAAAAGTCTGTGAAAAAGAGTAGGAAAGAAAAAAATGGAAGCAAAGATTTTATTTAAAGACATTTTTGGTACCAACTTATCAAAATTCATAAATAAATTGTATGTTGGTATTATTGGAGATGAAGTAGTCAGAATTATCTCTTATACTTCAGGTATGAATAATTGTTGGCTGCTGCAGCCATTAACTGAGCTTTAAACAAGGTGGGAAAGCAAGTTTTATTGTACATAAAATTTGTTTTTTTAATTGGGAATCAGTAGAATTTATAAATCAAATTCAAATAAAATAGTGAATTCAAATCATTACACTTGCTTTTACTGGCTTTTTGAATTGATCATATTACTTAACCATTCTTAGTTTCGTTCATCATAAAGTACAGAGTAATACCTTTGAAGGGATTATTATAGAGATTAAAACATATTATGTATGAAATCTGTTAATATTTCTGTCATAACAGTAATATAATAATTATCACTATTACTGTTTTTATATTTAATATACCTGAGATTTCTATTGGAGAGCTATATAGAGGTTCAGAGTTTGGTAGTTTGACTAAAATGAGACTTGCATTCAGAAGAAAGTTAAATACTGAAGAAATAATTTTATATAATGGATATTATGAGAAACACTGTATAAAACAATAACAGGAACAAAGATGGTCATTTGTGGACAAGAGAGCATATGAAAAACTAATGCTAAGTATGCCAGAAAATAATTTTAAGTGTTAAGAAGGAAAATCTAAATAGTATTGTCAGTTAAACTAAAAAAGGAGAGAATATCTAGGAAGACAAATATCACAAAGAGATAAAGGCAGTCAAAAAATGAAAAGTCTATTTGACAATCCAGGAGTCAATTTCAGATAGTTTCGGTGAACTAGTAGAGGGAAAAAAAATACGGTGTAGTGGATTCAAGACTCACTGAGAGACAGAATAGTGAAAAAAAGTGGGTATAGATTGCTCTTGAGAGTCTGTTGTCAGAAAAGGAGAAAGAAGTGGAAGGTGAAATACATTAATCATTTTATCCATTTTCAAGAAGGAGTGGAAAGGACTAAACATGTTTGTACGCCAAGGTGAGGCAGAGTAAGGATTCAGGGAGTGTGGTAAAGATACAGTAAAATCAGTGAGGAGAATGGGAAGAAGTCAATGAGATGTTGACTTATGATTATATAGTTATATGCTAAAGTAGAAAAAAGAAATAGGTCTGTATTCAAATAAGAATTGAAATAAAATCTCAACACAGAGCCTGCATCTTATATTTTCTTCAGTTTCTATTAGTCTGTCCTGTTATAAGATGTATATATGATTTCTAGGACCCTCACAAGTATGGCAAAAGCCATATAACGCTCTCTGATTTTTAGATTTTGTTTTTAGCTTCTTCTCTCTCTCTTATCATTTATTATGGCTAATCCATCCTATATCTGACTGTCCATGTTTCCAAACCATGCACATTTCACAAAGGAATATACTTTCATTTTCTGCTGCAGGCACATATTCTGCAGACTGTTACATTACAAATTCAAACTTTGGGGAAAAAATGAAGAGTCAGTAACTCTGATAGGCTATAGAAACAGGTTAGAAAACAGTGGATGTAATCATCTGTTTTCTGACGATCCTTACTGACAAAATGGACTAAATTAGCATTTATTGACTTTGAGGAAGTTGGACTTGTCAGATGCAGCGTCTGGAAAAGAAAATAGATCAGAGTTTTCTTTGGTTTATTTATTCAATGGCTAAATAGTTAACGTGTAGGATTAATTTAATTTTTTCAGTTCTGTTACCAAGTAGAATAAAAATCCCAGTGAATAAGAGTGATATTCATTAAGTACAGGGATGGTTGTGGAATCTTCTCCTTTACTTAATTCTATATAAGCAAAATTATTTTCCCTTCTAGTGTCAGGAGAGATCTAAATTGTGATTTTACTTTAGGACATTAATTATAATTATATTTATTATAATTATAATTTGGTCCTTGATGATTCCTACATTTTTCAGTCCTATTGGGAAAGTTAATTTAGAGCATATAAATCTGCATTTACCAATATAGAGCTGTAATGATGTAAAAAGTTTCAATTCAGTAGTCTTGTCATATTTGGTCAATTGCCAGCAATTGCAGTTAGTGAGAAGTGAAGCACCTACAAGAAGTACCACATTGGTATAAGAGACAAATCAAAGGGAGATGAAATGATCTGTAATGAGCAGAGAAAAATCAATAAGGGAAGAAAAGAGCCTCTCTCTTAAAATGAATGAAGGAGAGATGAGCTGATGTTTGAACTACATTTATTCATGTAAATGGGTCACTCTGAGCAGTAAAGCTTTGCACAAAAATACTTGTTGCTTCTTCTAATCCTTACCTTGGTTGTGAGTCCATTCTAAAACTGTATATATTGGCTGCACCTGATAATACATTGAAAAATTTGTGTCTTATTAAAAAAATCCTGTTTAAAGGAGCAAACTTAAGCAAGGTCTATGCTGTATAAAACCTTCTCTATACAATAATGAGCAATGTACCTTATTGTCATTCTAGACAACACTCCTATAGCGTAATTAAGATTGAATAAAGAACATGTGAATTCTCAACCTAGTAGGTTCACCTTGGAGCTAACTTAATTCAGTGTTCTGTCTTGAATCATATAGAATACTTCTCAGGAAAACATCAAAGAGGAATTCATACATCCTCAAAGAGCTAAACTATTTCATGGATCCCCGGAGAATAAATGGGAACTTTGACAAGAATGGAGAATGTAGCATCTTAGAGGTACAATTGCTCTGCTATTCTATTCAGCAGCTCTCATTAAGAAAAAACTGCTTCACCTTCTGAGTAACAATAGACTTTTCTAGTAAATTCATTGCTTTAACTAGAGAATACACAAAAGCAGGGGAATTCAGGATTTAGGGGAGCATTCAGTGCATCATTTCATTTCTTAAATACACTATTGCTTTTTGTCTCCCAAGGAGTAGACAAAATCAGGTATATCCATTACCTCTAAAATAGAAGGGCAAGAGTCATTTTTTTCTAATCACAGAAATTTGGGGGCAAATAGGCAAAGAGTGGAGTTTCATTCTTCCCTACTACCCAAATGGTTGTATTAACCTAAATCTTTAGATTCCAAGTCAGAGGCTTTGTGGTAACCAGCCTTAAAGATGGCCTCTAATGCCTCTTGGTAGTCACATCTTTGTGAATTGTATTAGAGTTGGTTTGTTTGGTGAATCAAATATAGCAGAAGGGATGGTGTGTTACTTAATTAATTTTTAAGAGATTATAGCCCAGCTTTCTTGCTCTCTCACTCTCTCTTGCTTTCTCAGATTACTGGATCTGGGGAAGCCCTGTAGAGCCCCACGTGGTGAGGAACTGAAACCTCTTACTAATAGCCATGTGAGTGGGCTTGAAAACAGATTCTGCAGCACCATTTATAGAGATGCAGACCATCCAAGAGCTTGACTGCAACCTCATGAGACATTCTGAGTCAGAGACACATGGCTAAGCTATTTCTGGATTCCTAACCCTCAGAAACTGTGACGTTATAAAGTTTCTTGTCTTAAGCCAGTAAACATTGCAGTAATTTGTTGTGCAGCATTAGTGAAGTACCTTGGCTATTTTTATCTATACTATAATGTAAGCTTTTCCTTTATGATTATTTACAATAAATGATGACAAGATTTCTTTCATTTTATAATTGTCACTCATAGAGTGGTATTATACCCTTTCAATAATTGGGATCCAGGACTTTTAAAAGAAAAATGTTCTATTCTGGTGTTCATAATTTTAGTGATCTTATTTAGTTCATTGCGTCCAGAACACATGGCAGGCACTAAGATTAGGGACAATCTCGATAAAAACTATAAAGGTTTACATTCTGCTATAAGCATTTTTATTGTCCTTCTTTCTCCAAGTAATTCTGGATCCTTTTAGTCTATATGTAGAAGTTGAAGATAGTATTAGTGCTAACTTGTCATATAAAATGAGTAAATATATGTAAAATACTTCAAACAGTCCCTGGAATTTTGCAATTACTATACACACACACATCTTGTATTACTCCATCTCATCATCCTGACAGAGACTTATTAGGAGAGTATCAACCTGTCACTGTGATCCTCACTTTTCATCCAGAATTTGTTGTCCTAGAATGTATTCTTCTGCATTATCCTAGAATGTATTCTTCTGCATTATCAAGATCTTCATGTTTCTTCTTTTTTTTTTTTTAATGTTTTGTTTTATTTTTGAGAGAGAAAGACAGCATGAGCAGGGGAGGGGCAGAGAGAGAGGGAGACACAGAATCCGAATCAGGCTCCAGGCTCCAAGCCATCAGCACAGAGCCCAACGCAGGGTTCGAACCCACCAACCGTGAGATCATGACGCGAGCCAAAGTCGGACGCTCAACTGACTGAGCCACCCAGGTGCCCCAAGACCTTTCATGTTTCTTAAGATTAGAATCTCTTCTTAACAGTAGAGATTTTGGGTCCATCTCTTTCCCAGGATCAATTTATTGGATAATATTAAAATTTAAATATAGCCTACCTTTAAATAAGATCATCTAGAACATTTTAACATAAAAAGGAACTGTCAATAATCATGGGTCCTTTAATGAGAAGGGGAATCACCAGTTGACTTAAGGCCTACAGTGTCAGTTAACCCAAGAGGGTACCAGAGAAATATTTTCAAAGTAGGTTTGAATTCACACTCTGCCACTTAAGTGAGGAGTACAGAAATGGCCCCAATACAGATTTTGACATATATCCTTACTGTAAAAAATAGATTTCTCTTATTGAAAGAAATACTTTAACAATATAATAATTTAATCAGAAATTATTTAGAAGTAAAGTTAGATAGGAACTAAAAAGTCATATAAATCTCTATCCTGAACTGGAAATCATTCCTCTAGTGCTTGGCCTGTACATATTTTATCCAATCTAAGATATCATAAATTATAAGATGTTCCATTAGATTATGAACAACTAAGAAGAGAAATATGCTGTCAATTAAAATTATGGTAAAATATTTGCCTATGATGTGTCATTTTTACTTTTACATATTAAGAGCTTTTTTTTTTTTTGCAATTTAGCAAATAACTTTAGTCACATCTTGCACTTGTACATGCAGAAGAAAGAAAATATGAGCAAAATAACTTGGGGGAGATACTCCTAAATTGTCTTTACATGAGATTCAAGCTCTACTGAATCATTTTTTGGAGTAATCCATGTACATGTTTTTACCCATAATATCTGCTGGATTATGAGAGCATCAATTATGCAGTGTTTTTTAAAAGAGTGTTCTATTATCTACTCTGAGCTCTTTTAAGCTACTGACATTCTGTAAGTTTTGTTGCACATTCACAGGGGATTGCGGATAAGTCAATTTTGTCCTCTCATCAACAAAAATCATAAGATCACCTCCAATTTCAGAGTTGTTAGGATAACAAAACAATGTGAGCATCAGTTAGCATCCAATCAGAAAACAGAACTGATATCAAGAAATTCAATAGATAGAATTTAATAGAGAACTACTTAGAGAATTTTTAGAGAGCTAAACAGGGAAATAGAGGTAGATAGGACAACCAGAGATTAACCACTGAAGGAAGCTACTTTCACTTTGAAACCTATGAATGTTTCACACCATTCTGTAATTACACATGCTAACTGGTGATTAGTTATTTGGGTGAGTTAAACTTTAAGTTTCTTCTACAAAATAGGGCTAATAATTCCCACCTCTTAATTTATTGTGAAACTATATAAAATATGCCTGGCACACAACATATACTCATGTTATTCCCATCCCTCCAGCATCAATCTTAAACAATTCCATGCAATTTTCCATTTCTATCTATTTTATATTGAACAAAAGATAAAACTTGCAATAAATTTACTCCCAGTGAGTTCTGACCTTGTTTCTTGCTACTAAAATTTAAGGATTTGCCAAGAAGCAAACAACAGGAAAAATGTAGTTTACAAAAAAATAAATTTAAAAATAAAAATGCGGTATATAAGTTAACTTGTTAAAAGCTACTACACTATAAAGTCCTGCTTCATGTTATATGTAGAAAGTTCAATTATAGAGTCTAATCATTGCTTTATTTTGATTTTGATAATGCAGGACTCTGGAACTGGAAATGAGAAGTGATTGTTCATATGTGTTTTTTAGTGCATGGATGTTAAACCAGCTATCAATTCTTTCCATCCAGTTATTCATCCACTAACTCATCAATTTAACCAATATTGATTTAGTGCCTTCAAGTTTCAGTTGCTGTATTGGGTGCTGAGGATATGATGGAAACCAAAACCAAAACCAAACCCCAAACCATATCAAATGAGGGAGAGAGTGAGAGACCATGAGCACACATACAAGCGTGTGGGCGAGCCATCAAAGATGAAAAGGGAAAGAAGAAAGCAAGTAATACAAGATTCACAGTTTCTAGGGGTGAGGAGTACTGCTACTAAATAACTGTACAAATGTATAGAAATTTAATTCATAATAAAAAGCTATATAAAAGATAAAACTATAGAAATCATAACAGCACCCTGGTTTAGTTTGTAAGTTGAGATTAAGATTTCTGAAAAAACACATTTAACAATAGACCTGAAAGATGAGTAGTAGTAACAAAGGAAAGTGGATTACATTTGGGTGAACAAATTAGCTAATTTATACATTTTTTTAAAGCAAGCTTCTACTTTCAGTATATTATCATTCTATTAATAGATATTCCATCTAAAATGTTTATAGTAAACTCTGTTCTTCACAAATAGCATTCTGGGCTTTTTATGTTAACTTTTTTATTTGAGAAGTAGCTTAGAGTGATTTCATTATTGAACTCTATGTTGTTCCTTACTGTGAAAATTTCTGTTGAGAAGAATATTAAGTAACGTGGCACTTTTGTCGACTTTACTGTGTCCTTTACCTCAGTGACTTACACTTAATTATAGCTAAATATATCCATACTATTTGGGTGCCTGGGTGGCTCAGTCGGTTAAGCGTCCAACTTCGGCTCAGGTCATGATCTCACTGTTTGTGGGTTCGAGCCCCACGTCGGGCTCTGTGCTGACAGCCAGCTCAGAGCCTGGAGCCTGTCTTCAGATTCTGTGTCTCCCTCTCTCTGACCCTCCCCTGCTCATGCTGTCTCTATCTCTCAGAAATAAATAAGTAAACATTATATATATATATATGTATATATATACATACAATGTATATATATATATACATATATATATATATTCACTATTTGGTTTAAAGTGACCAAAATTCAACATTGTTTAATTAAAAAATGGAATTCATTGGTCCATGTAAATCACAATTAAGATATTATTCTTAATTGGATGGATCTAGTTACTTAAACATGTTTATCAGATTAATCTCTAAATTTATCTCAGTGTCCAATACTAAGAGAGCTGTTTGTAGTTGATGTAGATAACTCACTATTGATTTTTATATAGTACTCCTATTTTAATACTTTTGTAAAAAATAAAGTTTCATAGGAAAAAGTGTGACTTGCTGCCACTTTTGCCACTTTTTAAAATGTGTCCTTTACAGGTAGAATAGAACTCATTCTCTTCTATGCAACTGACAGGAATTCATTCTCTTCAGTTTGGAGCCAACTGAATTGATTAGGTGATTTATATCAGAAAGAGTAAATTCAGATCAGCTCTTATAAAACCAAAGGCATATGTTGGCTTTTGCTACATGTCTTCCAACAATTTACTGCTTTATATCCAGCAATGACATGTGTATTGGAATATGTACTATGATCTTGTATTATTAAGTATTTGTGGGTGCTTTGCTAAAGAATACACATATACACAGATCCACACTTTCTTAAAATTCAGAAAGCATGACTAAAATTAGCTCTACATCTCTTCTAGAATAAGATTGTTGCCATCGATTTTGCTTCAGACCTTAAAGTTTTTGGTATTTATGCTTTCATTCAATGGTGTGATTTCCCAGTAGTCCTGTGGGGACCTCAGAAACTGTTGTATGTCCTACCTCAGTGCAGAGAAAGAAAAACCTTCTATTAAATTAGGTGTGTGTGTGTGTGTGTGTGTGTGTGTGTGTATCATTTTTAGTGTCTCTCTGTGTCACTATCTGTTTTTATTGTGCTCTCTCTCTCTTACTCAGTCTCATAAAGGTGTGTCATTTCTCCTTCCTGCTTTACTTGTTAAGTCCTGTGTGACTTTGTTTTAAGAGACCACACAGAATGCATGCCTTAGAGTTTATCAGGGAGAATAACCTCAAACTCACAACTTCTCAGTGTCTCAAAGTCTTCGTGGAAATAAATACAAAGCATTTCCTGAAAATTAAGTAATTTTTCTTGCTCAGAGATTTTTTTAAATTTATTTTGTGAGAGAGCATGTGTGAGGGGCAGAGAGAGAGAGAGAGAGAGAGAGAGAGAGAACCCTAAGCAGGCTTTTGAACAGTGAGCACAGAGCCAGATGTGGGGCTCCAACTTACAAACCATGAAATCATGACCTGAGCCAAAATCAAGATTCAGACACTTAACTGACTGAGCTACCCAGGCACCCCACTTGCTCAGAGATTCTTAACCTTGCATAAAACATTATTTCAGAGCTTCTTAAAATTACATATATATTTTATGTATTTGAATTTTAGTGGACAATGTATTGTTTTCACCAGGTATTCAGAATGGTCTGTAATTAAGATATGGTTAAGAATCATCTCACCTGATGTTTTCAAATCTATAATTGGATTTAGCAAAAGATTGTAACACTGTGTACTGATGTGTAGACTTTGGTACTCCAGAAATGTGTAATTTAATTATGTCTAAGTTGAATATTAAAATCACACACAAACACACACACACGTTTAAAACAACAATAACAAACAAAAGGTATCACTTTGCCTAGTGAAGACATCTACCTTTGGTGTCCATATATGAACAATAAATATGCTTCTTTGAAAAACTGGCCTATCTTCATATTTTGGAAACAGTGGGTCAAGTAATTGGTTGTGTTTCCACTGGCTTTGCTGTTATAGACAGTGAGCTGCCAAATTAGAGGCTTGAGATGAGCTACTGTACTCCAGGGCACACATTTTCTGTAACTGTTGAATTTATTCTTTTGTTTCTACCTTTATTTACTTTTGCCACAAATTCTTTACTTCTATTTCTTAACCATTTTGTTGTACTGTGTATATTTATAGTTTGCCTTAAATCACTTCCAAAAGCACTGAGAATACAAATATAAATGAACAAATAAATAACAATAGTGAATGAGGCAGCATACAAGTCATTTATTTGTTTTGCACTTTTTTTTTCACATGGTCCATAATTTCACTATGTTTTCAGAAATGGTTTCTTTAGCAACATACTTTGTAGTTCTTTGTTGTAAATATTCATTTTGGTTTAAAAGCCACTAATGTGTTCTTAATAAAGTAGTAAGTTAAAAGAAGCCCACACAGAAAAATGAATCCAAAGTATTTTAACCAGAATGGTAAAACAGGGAAGCTCCTTTTTCCTTATTAGGTTATCGGAGGAAGGGGCACCTGGGTGCCTCATCTGGTTAAGCATTTGACTCCAGTTCAGGTGGTAATCTCATGGTTCATGAGTTTGAACCCCTGTTGGGTTCTGAGCTGACAGCTCAGAGCTTGGACACTGCTTTGGATTCTGTGTCTCCCTTTGTCTCTCTGCCCCTCCCCTGCATTCTCTCTCTCTCTCTCTCTCTCCTCTCTCCTCCCTTTCTCTCTCTCTGTCAAAAGTAAATAAACATTTAAAAAATTTTAAAAGCTCATATTTTAGTAATCACTGCTTTAGGTAAATGCGCTATTTTGCAGTTGCTTATTCAGAAAATCTAACAAAATTGAATATACTACTCATAATGTGTCTACACTGTCCTCTACTTATAAACATAGTTATGAATTTATACCTTGGGAAATATTTTAGTACACTCCAATATATTTTGCATATGTGCATATTTTGCATATGTGTATGTACAATTGAACTTTGTCTTTTAGTAAAATTGATGTCATTTATATAGTCCGTATTTTTATTTCTTTTAGTTTTAAACTTGCATTTGTACTAGGTTAACAATAGGTATTGCTCCTTTGTTACTGTTTGGTATGAATGGGTTGGTGACTATCTTTCTGTATTGTACTAAGATGTCCTGATGAATAGGAAAAGAGTGTAAGAAGGAATTGATTTTTTTATGCCCTAAGTAAGACTCCCCAAACTACACTAGCATGTGTAGAATAGTCAATTAAATCTGTGTTTAGTGGGTAAATCAAAGCCCAAGCCTTGGGCATAGCTTATCTAATAAGAATACTGTAGAGGTCCACTATAAACCACTGATTCCCAGGAACATATTGTGCTCTGGAAGCATTAAGGGCTACCCTAGAGAAAAGAATGAAAATCATACTCATTACACAAAACATAGGTAAAATTTAACAAGTAAATATACTTTGAGTAGCCTCTATGCCCAAGAATGCTGCATGCCCAAGAATGCTGAGTCCTCAGGCAAATTGAAAAGTCTTCCCTCATCACACATCTCATTCCAGGCAAGGACTAGGCTTAGTTCTACTATGCATGCTGCAAAAGTGCTCGGTAAATACTTGTAGAGTAACTGATACCACTGTAAGGAAAAAGAAGGGCCCTATATAGTGGGCCTATGACTCAGATACAGCTGTCAGGAAAGAAAAATGAAGCACCCAGGTTACCAAAAACTAGATTTGCTGGAATAAAAGGAAATGGCTGTCTGGTAGCTTCAAGGCAGAGAGCTAATATCCACTTCTTTCTTTCACCTTATGAGTGATTTAGTGCTGTACTAGAAGATGTGGCCATTGCTGTACTCTGCTTCTACTAGTAATATAACAGGTAGGCTGACCCTTAGGAGGAAAAGCAAATATGAGCATCGCTTCCTTCAAAAGTTTGCAGTGAATTGCTAAACTATAAAGACTTCACTTTTAATACACAAAGAGAAAACCTGTGATAGTGTTTTTTAAGGTCTGATAAAAATAGCCTAAGGGACAATCTCCCCCAAGTAGTTGCAAGTAGGCAGAGAAAAGGAGAACCAAGACGCTTCACAGTGAACACTCTAGTGGGCTAGAGAGTACATATTTGAAGGAGTAACTATTAGAAGGTATATCCTTTCTACATTTGGAGAAACTCAGTGTCATTGTGTAAAGTAGTCTCTAAAATAAAATAAGGACTGTAGAGGTATGTCACTGCATTGCTGCTTTGTCTGTCAGATTTTGGCCTGAGAAATAGAATCACTACCAGTAATGTAGAGTAGAAATTTATCATAGAGACTTTTACTTCACACAGTTGTGGGAGCTGGTGTAGAAGTTTCTGCAAGGCTGCTGCCTTTGCATCTTGTGCTAGGTCTCAAGTCTCAAAAGGTCAGTTAGGCCCTCAGTCTGGCCTTCCTAAGCAGGATGTGTGTCAGGAGAGAACAGAGGAAAATTGGAACCTGTGAGGACAGACTGCAATCCACGAAGCCAAAATGGGACCCACATCTGTCTTTTACTGCAGTCAACCCTGTTATGCCCATAATCTTTGGGAGAAGCTGCTGCTATTTGCCAAATAACTGGATAAAAAGCTTCAAGTTCATTACATAGCATAAAGTTCTTCAATATAGCATTTTATCAGCTTACTCCCAACTTTCCACTCCCATTCTCCTATCTACACACTCTTCAACTCCTTGCAGAAACTTAAAAATTTTGCAGAATGTTTGAAAAAGACTACCACACACATCTGAAATTGAACCACAGTTATCTTTTAAGAGACAGAACCCATTACTTTTAAACTCAAAGTGGTTTCCAAGAGGATAATTTTCATTACAGACATACCCTGAAATATTGTGGGTTCGGTTCCAGAGTGCAATAAAGAAAATGCCGGAACACAGTGAGTTAAATGAATGTTTCAGTTTCCCAGCATATATAAGTTATGTTTATACTACACTATAGTCTATTAAGAGCACAACAATATTATGTCTAAGAAAAAAACTGTACATACCTTTATTTTAAAAATAATTTTGTTAAAAAGCCTAGCCATTATTTGATCTTTCAGTGATACATAATCTTTTCGCTGGTGTAGGGTCTTGCCTTGATGTTGAGGGCTGTTGATTGATCAGGGTGGTATTTGCTGAATGTTGGGGTGACTGTGGCAGTTTCTTAAAATAAGACAACGGTGAAGGTTGCCACATCAATGGACTCTTTCTTTCATGAACAGTTTCTCTGTAACTTGTGAAGCTGTTGGATAGCATTTTACCCACAGTAGAACTTCTTTAAGAATTGGAGTCAATCCTGTCAGACACAACCACTGCTTTATCAAGTACGTTGATGTAATATTCTACATCCTTTGTTGTCATTTCGACAATTTTCACAGCATCTTCACCAGGAGTAGCTTCCGTCTCAAGAAGCCACTATCTCTGCTCATCCATAGTAGCAAATAATCATCTACTAAAGTTTAAAAAATTTTTAAATGTTTATTTTTTATTGAAAGGGAGGGGGCAAAGAGAGAGGGAGACACAATACGAAGCAGGCTCCAGGCTCCAAGCTGTCAGCACAGAACCCCATGGCCCAGTATGGGGCTTGAACTCATGAATGGTGAGATCATGACCCAAGCCAAAATCGAACGTTTAACCAACTGAGCCATCCAGGTG